CAGCAAAAGCCATTCCTCAGGGCGTGGTTCTCCCGCTGGCAACCCCACTAGAAATGGTGATGATCAAAAACAGAGAAGGACCTCATGTAAAGCCACAATTAACCCCTCTACAAAAGGTAAGTTCACCCACATAAACTGTCTTTTTATTGTGTTTGACATCAAGTAATGGTGTTCTAAAGACGATGTTTTCAAAAATATCCTCTTGTTTGGGGACAGGGTTGCCATTTGCTAGTACATCCAATAACATTACCAATTAACTAAGCACATTATTTCATCGATTCATGTACAGATGCTGCAGGAAATGGCCAACAAGTTGACAGTCCAAATGGCACACTGCAGGACCCGTCACCTCAAACAGGAAATGTTCATGATGAGGAAGAAGCTATAATTCCACATGCAAGCGATAAATTTACACATCATGATCCTTTGGGAGCTTCTGCTGATAAACATGGGAGTGAACATTCTCGCAGACATCGTCGTCGTAGCAAAAGCCATTCCTCAGGGTGTTGTCCTCCTGATGGCAACCCCAATAGAAATGGTGATGATCAAAAACATAGAAAGACCTCATGTAAAGCCATGATTAACCCCTCTACAAAAGGTAAGTTTATAAGTTCTGACTAGTCACACACTCTGCCATCTCTGGTTACCCATGGTTACCTCATTGTTTCGCTAACCTCAACCCTACTTTGAACAGTACTGTTTTATTCTTGGGTTAACAAACCTAGGTCTAACCCAAGGTTGATTATCTCTCTTTTAAACAACGAGGTCCTACGTGGAAAGAGGCTCTGTGAGAGTACAATGTTTTGCCCAAGAACACAACACAGGGTCAGGGCTTGCACCTAAGTCCAGTACTTTAACTGTTAAGCTGCTGTTCCAGGGGTAGCTTGAGGGTAGCAAGTTATACTGTTTCATGGCACTGAACAGGAGTTGAGCACCACTGCCCTGACCCTAGAATTATTCTAGAACCACATACTAACCGTTATGCTACTGCACCAATGAATAAATTTGCAAAGATACTGGAATTCAAACTGTTTAATATTCAAGTTGTCTTTCTTACATTGGCTCCAGATTATTAAATTAAGGGCACAAGTTTTGAGTTGAATCCTCTATACTTTGTAAACAGCCCCCTAGTGAGTTCCCTGCTGGGTGGTATTTGTAACGTATGTGTGTTTATTCCATATATTTGGTGTACAAGCTGTATGTTTTAAACACAACCAGCTAAAGGTGGTGTTAAAGCTTCTTTATTGCTTCTTACCTTCACCTCTGCCAGTCACAACCTTGTGGCGTTTTTGTGCCAGACCATAAACTGGAGTTAACGTTTAGCTCAATTGAATCTTACGCTCATTGCTGTTGTTGGAATCAATTATCCATAACAGGGTCAACCTCTCTTGGCCCTGTGTCGCCTATTAACCTTATTTACTGACCTGGATCTCGCTCTAGCAGTGAGAAAGACCTTTTGCCCCTCTTCACTACTTAAATTCATCATATTTATTTTCTTTAAAAAGTGTATTTCAATTATTGAAATAAAATTTTTTAACTGTAACTACTCCTCCCTCCTGGGGAGCCAGACTTGCAGACAGCAAGCTGACCAGACTCCATTCCTTTGTCCCTGTCTGGCAGTCTAAAACCAGCTATCACTTCAAATGGCAGCCTCCAATTGCTGATCAGGTCACTTTATTGTAGACCAGAAGCTATTGCCCCTGGCAGGTTCTTTCTTTGATGCATGATTTCCCTGAGTAACCCGCACTTTTGTCTAATTCCAGCTCCTTTGTCTGTGTCAGCAAGGAATTTCAAAAAGACCTGGTTATGTGGGTGCACTTCCTGGCCTCCATTTTCTTTCTGTTCCCATTCTTTTGTTTCCCTAGTCACAGATTGGTTAGGGAGCATAACTACACCCCAACTGGTTTAATGGTAAATGGTTCCCTCAGCAGCGACGTGCCTTCCCAGATATAAGCATTACTTGGCAGGAACTTTTCCCCATCTACTAAGCTTTTGCCACATGAGAGTCTGGTGTGATAGCCATGCATATTCTCCTTTCCAGAATGGTTTTGCTAACCTCCTTTCTTCTTTCCAGATGGAACGTTTTAGGAAGCTGGCACAAAGCTGGCACAAATGCCTTCACCTACTTATGGAGCAGTATTCCCTGTTGTGGAGGCCACTTTGACACTTTTTACTTCCTCTTTAGCTGAATGTATTAAGTTTTACGACATTGAATTTTTTTACTCTCCAAGTCAATTGTGGGTCGATGCTAGGTAATAATTACCTAGCAGTGACTCAAAATTTACTTGTAGAGTGCAACTTCAACTTCTCTGCCGTGCACTGCCTCCAAAACACCCTCCTTAGGATCAAACGTACCCCTGGTTGTCCAGATGAAACTGTCAGCCCATTACTCTTTTCATTCTCGAAAGCGCTTTTAAACTTCTTGCCCCCAAATATTCATTTGATATTGATATGGTAATACTTTGGGCTGCTCTAGCCTTCCTTGGCCTTTTTTTGGGAGATGCAGTGGCCTTATGGTTCGTGGGGTGGACTCCAGATTGAGCGGTCCAGCATGGAGCCCTGGCCAAAGACATAAATGTTGTGTTCTTGGACAAGACACTTTTCTGTCACGGTGGCTCTCTCCACCTAGGTGTACAAATCATGAATGGGTAGCTGTGCTGCATAATACTGAGGGGGTGGGGGNCTGTTCCCATTCTTTTGTTTCCCTAGTCACAGATTGGTTAGGGAGCATAACTACACCCCAACTGGTTTAATGGTAAATGGTTCCCTCAGCAGCGACGTGCCTTCCCAGATATAAGCATTAACCTGCAGTGGACCAGCATTCCATTTAGCAACAACCCTTCAAATCTCACATCCACATCCCCACACTATCATCCCTCTAGGAGCTTGGCATAGGTACACACCACTCTGCTTCTTCCTTGTGTCTCCTGTCACGTAGTCTTATATGCCACTCATTGACATTAGCCCAAGTACAGGCCTTGCATGCAGCGGGCACCTCTTAGGTCCAGGACAACCCCCTTCCTTCTCTAACATAAACTGTCTTATATTGTGTGACCTCAATTTGGTGTTTTTAAGACAACAATTTGAAAATGTTATCTTGTGTGGCCAATCCATCTCCATTTCCATCTCTGTATGGTAATTCAATCTTCTCATGCTTGGTGTGCTGCCACAACTCCTCATTGGAGGTCTTACTTGGCCACCACACCCCTAAGATGTACTGGAGCCTATGGTTGTTGAAGGTCTGGAGTTGGGTGATGATCTCCTATGTTAGTCTCCAGCTCTCGGCTCCATAAAGCAGAACCGACTTCACGTCGGAATTGAAGATCCTTATCTTTGTCTACAGAGTGATGAACTTTGATCTCCATATTGGTCTTAAAATGGAGAAAGCAGCTTGTGTCTTTCTGCCCCTGTCTATGTGAAGGCTGTTACCTGCTCCAGGATCTCTCCTGTACTGCTGATGTTGCCAGTGTTTGGTGAGGGCCGAATCCTCACCTCCTTGTTGCTGGTTGCATTTACCTTGAGCCCGACCCTGGCAGCTTGTTCTTGCAGCAACTCGAACTTCTGGCTCAGCAAAACCAAGTCATTTGCAAAGTCCAAGTCCTCTAACTTCTGCAGCAGGGTAAGTTGGATCCCTGTCACATTATCACCAATGGCTTGATGAGATACGCAGTCTTGTGGCACGAGGAAGAGAAGTGGGCTGAGCAGGTACTCCTGACAGACTCCAGTACTCCTGCTAAAGGGCTCTGTCGTATCAACACCTTAGAAAACCCTTGCTTTGAAGCCATTGTAAAAGACCCGATCAACCTCACGATTTTCTCAGGGATCTGGTAGTGCCACATGATCCACAGAATCCGGTGCCTTTTCAAAGGTATGAAAACTAGACATAGTGTTCCATTCCAAGGTCTGCTCTCAAGATAATCCACGGTGTAGCAATCTGGTCACAGCAGGAACTCTCCTTGCAACATCCTACACGCTCATCCCAAACTCTGTACTCAAGAAATCCTTCATCCCCTCTAGAATGGTCTTACAAATAACTTTGCTTGCAACAGAGAGGAGCATAATGCCTCTCCAGTTCTTACAAAGGGAGTGGAATAGATATCCCTTCTTGGGAAGTTTAGGCCTAGCTTCCAATCCTGGGGGATGACTTCCTCATGGCATATGTTATTGAGGAGGGAATGGAGAACCTTGAATGAAAGCAGTCCTCCCTCCTTCCAGGCCTCTGGGCGATGTCAAACCCAGCAACTTTCTCGTTTGTCAGGGTTTTCAACTGTCTCTTGACCTCTGCTATAGTGATATGTCCTGCTCAGATGCCTAGTGGTGGCCGTTCAAAGAACTGGGAGGTGGTCTGATCCTACATTTGCGCTGCATTATACCCTACTGTCCTGTAGCAAGATCCTCCATGTTCCGCTATAGCCACAGTCAATCTGGTTCTCAGAGGTCCCATCACGAGATCTCCATATGAGCTTGTGAGATTTCTTGTGGGAAGAGTGTTCCCCCGATTACAAGTCCATTTAATGCACAGAAGTCACAGAACATTTTGCCATTCTCATTGATCACTCCCCATAGATGCTTCCTAATTCCTGTTGTCTGAGCCCACCTTCGCATTAACATCGCTGCTCAGACATTGGCTCCCACTCCATCAATCTATTTCTGACCTCCTTTGGCAAGATCAATGCAACACCTAACCGTTTTCATGTGGTGCATCATCACCTGCCAGGACAGAAGAGAGTACCATCTCTCCAGTTATCAAATGGACCTTCCCAGCCTTTGTCCATCTCTTTTCGCTAACTCCCAGAATAGCTTGTTCCAGCCTTCTCGATTTCTTGGCAACTTGGTATAGGGTTGCTATTCGCGCTATATTTACATGTAATGATATTAACTATGACAATATGTTTCTAAACACATTATTTCAACGATTAATTCACAGATGCCTTAGGAAATGGCCAACAAGTTGACGGCTCAAATGGCATATCACAGAACCGGGTACTCCAAGCGGGAAACGTTTGTGGTAAGGAAGAAGCTATAGTTCCACATGCAAGTGATAAATTCACACATCATGATCCTTTAGGAGCTTGTTCTGAGAAACATGGGAGTGAACGTTCTCGCAGACATCGTCGTCGGAGCAAAAGCCATTCCTCAGGGCGTTGTACTCCCATTGGTTACCCCACCCAAAATGTTAAAGACCAAGAACCTAGAAGGACTTCACGTAAAGCGACAGCTAACACCTCTAGGAAAGGTAAGTTTATTAGTTATTATTGTTGTACACTCTGCCACCAATGCTGTTCCTAAGGAACTCGGAGAGGAATTTGCTAAACTCACCTCCCCTTTAGCCTTTTAAGGCTCTGCTTTATTATTTACAAGCACTCTCAATCAGCAGAGTAGCAAAAATATGCCTTAGAACGTAATGGCCTATTAAGCTCGTGTTTGATCTGCTGTAAGTGCTTTTTTGCTAACTGATTTATCGCACAGGTACCCTCATCTGTCCTCTATTCCTATTGACAAATTAAATGATTAGCCGGCACATGCTTCCTCTCTCATTAAGATGATTTCTGATGTTTTGGAATGGATTATCCATAACAAAGTCAGCTTTCCTGGAGTCATACACATCCTGGATGATTTCTTACTCCAAATGTTTAACTAATGTTTTATGGCCCTGTGTCACCTATTAACCTTATTTACTGAACTGGATATCGCCCTAGTAGCAGTAAAGACCTTTTCCCCCTCTTCACTACTGAAGTTCATGGGAATCCTGCTAGACTCCTCGCTAATAGAAGCCAGACTCGCATACAGCAAGCTGACCTGGCTCTGTTTTTTTTGTCTCTGGCTGTCTAAAACCAACCTTTCTCCTTGGCAGCGTGGAATTGTTCATTGGGTCCCTTCATTTTAGACGCGAAGTTAGTGCCTCTGACTTCTCTTTTCTTTGGTTCATGATTTCTCTAACTCGGGTTTATCTAATCCCAGCTCCTTTGTTCACCTCAGTAAGGAATTCCAAAAAGATCTGGATATGCATACTTCCTGGCTTCTTGGGGTGAGTTTCACCTGTTTCGACCCCTGTTTTCTTTCTGTTCCGATTTTGTTTCTCTAGGCAGCGATGCCTCCAGGTTAATTGGTGAGGGAACATACCTCAATGATCACTGATTTAAAGGGGAATGGTTCCCTCAGCAGTGACGTGCATCTTCCTCAGAAGTAAGCATTGCCTGGCAGGATCTTTTCCCTCTACTTAGCCTGTGCCATATGAGAAACTTTGTGGCACGATAGGCATGTGCATTTAGTTGAAGAGTTCAGCTGCAACCTTGACTGTGCCCTTGGGTTATCCAGACGAAACTGTCAGCTCATTGCTCTTTTGTTCTCGAAAGCATTCTTAAACTTTTTGCCCTTAATCATTCACTCGACCTTGAGACAGTGATGCTTTGGGCTGCTTTTGCTCTAGCCTTCTTTGGCTTCTTTTTGGGTGGTACGGTGGCCTTATGGTTGGTGGGCTGGACTCCAGATCGAGCGATCCAAGGTTCAAGCCCTGGTAGGAGACATTGTGTTGTGTTCTTGGACAACACACTTTACTCTTCCAGTGCCTCTCTCCATGTAGGACCTGTGCTGGGTACCTGTGGACTAGCATTCCATCTAGCAACAACCCTTCGGTCAGACACTGAAATGATGCCTGGTTTGCCTCAGCTTGGGTGAGAGATGGTGGTCACATCCACTTTTCCAAGCTATCATTCCTCAAGGAGCTTGGCATAGGTACACGCCATTCTTCCTGGGTGTCTCATGACACCCATCTCATGTTTGTATTACGACTCGCTGACATTAGCCACAAGTACAGGCTGTACGTGCAGCAGGAAACTTCCAGGTCCAGGACAATCCCCTACCTTCTCCCACTTGAACTGTCTTTTTATTGTGCGTGACATTAAGTTGGTATGCTCAAGACCTGAGGGGTACTCCTTTATTCAGGCTATACGGGAACGTGCCGCTGGGCAGGGTATGATTTTTTGGCCCCGTTGTCCTGAACAGGGTATACAATTTTACTCGCCTCTGTCCTAAACAGGGTCAAGACCTGTCCTTAACAGGGAATGGTGTTGCGAGCAGGGAGACTTTCCCCGGCCATTACAAGGTCATCAATCAACATCAGATCATTTTCCAACTAAGAATGCCATTGTTGTCGGTAAATTTTTTTCCATTTATCAGTATTATAGCAAGCGCGCATTGACAGAATAGATCGTAACGGTAGGTCTAGTTTCTGTTTGTTTCTTTGTCCTACACAGGGTAGGGTTTTTAGAGTATTTTTGTCCTAAACAGGGTCAGGATTTCAAACCCTCAGCGGCACCCCTATACCCAAACATGGGTCAAGTATCCCTCCTCCCCCCGTTTCAAGACAACATTTTTGAAAATATGGTCTTGAATGGGAGCATTTGCTATTGGCTGCTATATTTAATGACATAAAATATGACATTAAGTTTCTATGCACATTATTTCACAATTGCCGCAGGAAATACCCGACGTCTCGATGGCTCAAATGGCTTATCACAGGATCCGTCTTCCCAAACAGAAAACGTTCATGATGAAAAAGCTATAGATCCAAGTGATACATTGAAGCATCCTGATCCTTTAGGAGTTCCTGGTAATAAACAAGGCGGTGAAAATGCTCGTAAACATCGTCGGAGCAACACCCGTTCCTCCGGGGGTTGTGGTCCCGTCAGCAACCCCACCGGCAAAAGTAAAGATCCAGAACGTAAAAAGACTTCTGGTAAAGTGTTGGCAATAACTGCAGAAACGTTACTGGCTAACTGCCAAAAGGAACTTCAAGAAAAGATGACAGCAGTAACAGAGCAACATTCTAAAAAGATCGATGGAATAAGTGGTCTTCTAGGTCGTCTGCGTGTATTGAAACCCATTCGTTTGGAAGATTATGAACGAATATGCTCAGAGAGAGAAGCTTTAAAGCAAAAGAAAGATGAGCTACAGCTACAAAAGGATGAATTTCAACGCTTTAAAACTCAGATAACTTCTTGTCTGCTTGACCAAAGCTCTCAGCCGTTGTCACGTGTGAAGGGTACAATCAAGGAATTGAGGATTGCTGTTGGTAGAGAATGCCACAGGCTTGAGGCAGCCCTTCCAATGTACGCAAGAAAAACCACCATAACTGACACTGTCAAGCAAAACCAGGTTTGTGTTGTTCTCGGAGAAACTGGATCAGGCAAAAGCACTCAGATGACCCAGTATCTCTACGAAGCTGGGTTTGCTAAGAACGGCCTTATTGTTTGCACTCAACCAAGAAAAGTTGCTGCCACTAGTTTAGCAGCCCACGTCGCAGAGGAAATGGGTGGAGTCGTCGGACAGGTTGTCGGTTGTCATGTAGGGGGGAACATCCAAGCAAGCAAGAAAACTGGTATTATTTACGCAACAGATCACATTCTCCTCAATGAATGCTTGAGAGATCCTAATCTATCCAAATATTCTTGCATAATTATCGATGAGGCACATGAACGCAGTCTTTATTCAGACCTGCTTCTTGGAATGATCAAGAAAAGCCTTGCACGACGTCCCGAGCTGCGAGTGGTCATCACTTCAGCTACCATTGATCCTGCTCTTTTTGTGACGTATTTTGATGAGTGTCCAGTTTTGAAGGTGTCTGGTAGAATGTTTCCAGTTAATGTCATATGGAAAGATGGTCCAACAAGCAATGCAGAAAACTATCTGCAAGAGGCTGTTAATGCAGTTCAGGAAATTCACCGCAAGGAAGGTCCAGGAGATATTCTGGTGTTCCTTGTTTCCCCGGTGGAAACAGAACGTGCGTGTGAAAAGTTAGGAAAGATGGAGCCTGATCCAAATCTTGTTTGTCTCCCGCTTCATGGAAAGTTACGTCAAGAAGAGCAGAGGAGAGTGTTCAAGGAAAGCGCAGGCAAACGCAAAGTAATATTTGCAACGAATTGTGCGGAGACGTCCATTACTATTCCTGGGATAAGGTACGTGGTGGACACTGGCATGGTAAAAGAAATGACGTTTGACCCAAAACGCAACAAAAGTTCTTTGGAAGTAACAACCATTCACAAGAGTTCTGCTGAACAACGCAAAGGAAGAGCGGGAAGGACACAGGCTGGAAAGTGCTATCGACTTTACAGTGAGGAAGAGTACGCGGCAATGGAAGATCGATCTAGACCAGAGATTTTAAGAGTCCATCTAGGACAGGCAGTGTTGAAACTAATGGAACTGGGCATCGAAAATATGACAGAGTTTGAGTTTGTGGAATCACCACCACTGGACTCAATAAAACTTGCCTTGGAAGACTTGGAATTGCTTGGGGCCACAGCTAACGGACAGCTTACAGAATTGGGCCACAAGATTGCTCGAGTTCCGTTGGAGCCACGCCTCGCAAAGCTGTTATTTGATGGCATTGATCAAGGAGTCGGTGCTGACGCTTTGGCTTTAGCAGCCATTGCAACTGTAAGTGGTAGTGTATTCTTCCGCATGGGCAGCGAAGAGGAAAAGCATTTGGCAGATAGTAGAAAAGTTGGCTTCTGTCACAATGGTGGTGACCTGTTGACACTGTTGGAAGTACACAGACAATACCTGAAGCAACCTAAAGGAAAGCGAAACAAGTGGACCCGTGACAATAGCTTGAACGCAAAATCGCTTCGCCTGGCAGATGAAACAATCAAAGAACTCAAGCTGGCTTTGAAGCACGAGCTAAACATCAGAGTACCTGATGCCAGTCAACAGAATGACACTGACCTCAAGCTGCAAAAGATTTTGATATCGTGTTATTGCGCCAACATTTGTGTGTTCACTGGCCACCAGAAGGCAGGGTACAAAGTGGTGGCATTCAATCACTGTGCTCAGTTGCATCCTTCTTCAGCTCTGAAGTTCCTTGGAGAAACACCTCAGTTTATCGTTTTTGAACAGCTGCTCAAGACATCTCGTGACTTTGTCATCAACGCAACCCCTGTCGAAGAGAAGTGGCTTCAAGAAATAATTTTAAGAGGTGCTGTCAAGTATAATATGGAAGAATTGATGTCGACGGTGCTGACAGAAGTTGCTTTGCCATGTAGTCGAGACCTTATGACATTAGCGTTTGGAGGATTCCGAAGACGAATGATTGATAAACTTGAAGAGAAAGTGTCCAAATGTTGTGATGGTGGTTTGGTTGTTCTAGAGAAAAACGAAGAATCAGGGCAAGTGAAAATCTTTGTGCCACCAATCCACGTAGTCAAGGCTCTCTCTGTTGTGGGACGCCACCTAGAAGAAAACAGGAAATTGCTGAGGGACGAGCAAAAAGAAGAGTATCTAAGAGAAGATTGTCAGAGCAGCAGAATCGTTTGGGGACAAGGTGGAGAAGTGCAGGAACTGCTAATGCCTCATATGTATCGAACTGTGACAGTCGGTGAGATACAAGATGGTAACGCCTTGGTCGTCCTAGATTTCGTGAAGTCGTTTGGAGACATTGTAAAACACAGTTTCAAGGAGCAGAATGGCAAGATGCGATTGTTTGCCACTTTCAAATATTCTGAAGACGCAGCCATGGCAGTGAAGGGCTCTTCCAGTAGCCCACTGGGCATCGATGAGAAAGTGCAGCCGAGCCAGTCGATGTCTGATGACGTGCATGCACAAGTCCCTCACTTTAAAGTAAAAGCCAAGTGGCTCCGACGTCCTGCTAAAGGTACAGGTTCCATTGAATTTTTCAACGCTGATGATTTTGAGTTTACACTTAGCAATCTTTCCTTCCAGTCGCTAATGATAAAATCGAAGAGGGTTACATTTCAAGCGGACAAGCTTCGCGAAGAGCAGCTATTCATGAGAGGACTCCATCCCGAAACTTCAATGGAAGATGTGAAGTCTGCTATCGAAAGAAGATTGCCTAGTGTGAAACTAAAAGACGTGTTTATTCATCGAGTGGCAGAATTTCATACAAGCGACGAGACCCTTGCTCAGCAGAAGTTATCCTTCCAAGAACGTCTCGAAAACTTTGCTACAGAAGGCCACTTTTCTGTTCATTTGAGTAAACCTTCACCTAAACATTTTGATGGACATGCCTATCTGACGTTCCAGGACGCCGAAGAGGCTCAAGCAGTCGTGAGAGGTCTTAATGGAGAACGTATCTTTGACATTGGGATCGTAACCCTGGAACCTATCCTTTCAACTTTCTTGCTGTGTTCAAAAAATATCTTCACCATCATCGAAGATGAGCTGCGTGCAGTTGCGAATGAACTAGATATTAACTTTGACAAGAGGCTAGTTATGAAAGTAAACAATCAACGCAAAGACCAGCGAGTCTCCATCGAAATCCAAAGTGACTGCACAGAGCACTTTATTCGTGCTACAACAGTATTCAACGAGATCCTCAACGGAGACCGGATTGACTGCAAAACTTCGAAAACCTTGGAAATATTAATGACCAATCAGGTGAAAGAAGTCTTGCGAGCCATCGAGAAAGATACTGGAACTGTAATCAATCAAGATTGGAAGAACAGAGTTGTCCGAATACATGGCAGCGAAGCCAGTCGAGAATCAGCCAAGCGCGCCATCAACAAGTATCTTGATGACTCCATTGCAAGTAACAGTCACCCATGGGAGATTCAGCTTCGGGGACCAGGGAAGCCACGTGGGCTGCTGAAAGCTCTCTTTAAGAGATTTGGCGTAGATCTCAAAGGACTGCAGGATATTCCAGGTGTCCAAAAGATCCATGTTGAATTCCGCAACCACGTACTTAAGATTCAGAGTTCCGATGAAGCTCGGGAAACAATCAACCGCTACGTGGAAGAATGTTCCGAAAATCTTCCCAAGAAATCGTCCCTTTTACCATCCGAAGGTCAAACCCAGCTAACTTGTGGTATCTGCCTGTGTGATGTGGGCGACACAGCTGATTTGTACAGACTTGCGTGCTGTGGCCATAGCTACGACAAGAGCTGTGTTATCCAGCAACTGATATCTGCCGAGTTTCCGCTCAAGTGTGCCACAGAGGATTGCGAAGAGCTCTTTGTGTGGAGAGATTTGCAGAATCTGTTAAGCGAAAAGGAGAGAAAGAAGCTTGCTGTCAGTGCATTAGATGAGTATGTTAAAAGGAATCCTGAAATTGTCAAGTATTGTCCAACTGCCGACTGCGGTATGGTGTACCGCGTCTCGACGGAAGGAAGACGCTTCACTTGTTGCGCATGCCTAGCCGAGATCTGCACGTCCTGCCAGGTGCAGTGGCACAACGGGCTCACTTGTGCCATGTTAAAATCAGGAAAGCAGGTCGAGGGACGTCTGGAAGACTGGATGATGAAGGACCCAAGCAATAGGAAGAACTGTCCCAAATGTAAGACGCCAATTGAAAAGAATGAGGGCTGCAATCACATGACATGCTCTGGTTGTAAGTCGCACATGTGTTGGCTCTGCCTGGAGGTGTTCCCAACAGGAGAACAGGTATATGCTCATCAAAAACACTGTCCGAAGCGTTAAGAGTGTGATCTGATTCTTTCTCACTGGGCAAACTAAAAGTATCGTCACTCCCACGACCCGTACGACAGATGACACTTAGTGCTCTAGCTAGGTGTTGGTAGCTGGGTAGTTGACTTTTCTGATTCAAGTTGCCACCGGTTTCATCCCAGCAGTTGGTTACAACTGGATTAGTGTTGGCGTTTTCATAGTAGTTTTGTGCTGTGTCCATTTCGAGGAGATTGATAAGCGAAAACACTCGGAAATAGAATCGTACAATGCTACTCTAATTTTGAACCGCTCCCTAGGGAAGACAGGAGAACTTCAGTCACCATGCAGGATGGAATGAGTGCTGGAGTAGACCTGGCCTAAACTGTGACTTACCGTGCACTAAAGCCTTGTCAGAAAGAGGCTTAGTGAAACCTTCCACTTTGTCTGATTTTCTTGAGTTCACGAATTAAGTTAAATTTCCGTTAGGTTTTCCTCTGTTTCAAAAAGACTTCCGACAAGGAAATATTATAATTTGTCTACCGCCGTACAGCCTTGCTGGTCAGAACCTATGGCAACAATACTTCAAACCGGCCTCGGGCCGGACGGGTTGACATGAAGTTGACATTGAGTTTTTGCTAAGCAAAAATCCGGCCGTGTTCATGTTAACAGTTATTTAGCGTACGCAATAGGCCAAGTTTATTATATCAAAGTCGTAGTTAAAGTTGGCGTTGAGGCTAAGGGAACTGAATCGAAAACAAAACACATCGAGGTTGAGGGTTAAATTACTAAATTTTCTTCTATTAGTTCCGTAAGCCAAGTCACCATGGCAGAATTTTAATATATCCAAAATTAATAACCTATTGAGAACATTTACGAACGGCCATTTTCACAACATATCAACAAAACAAAACTCTTGACTCTCGCTCGAGCCAGGGCCCCGCTCTCAGTCAATAAGCTCTTACAAAGGGTTTGTTCTCGGCATTATTTTGAAAATTCGGCTTAAACGGAATAGGATAATATGACATTTTGTTAGTACCTTGGGAGTATACATTTCAACAAAGAACTCAAAGACGACCTGGGCCAGGAAAGTGATTACTGCTACAAGGCAAAGGAAAGGATAATCTTGTTTTCATTGGAATTCTGAACTCACAGTCGGTGACAGGTAACGAAAGCGTACCATCGGTGAACTGTAAGACATTATCGTTAATTAGCTGACTTTTTTGCCNCCCCCCCAAAAAAAAATAAAGGCTTTTGGGCGTCGTGAAAGGCCATGTGACAATGAAACTTCCCAACCACTAATTTTGCAGCAGATTTTTCGTGGTGCCTAATGGAAACTGAATATTCATACCAGTCTTTCAGGATTCCCCTTGTTTCAAGTCTCAAATCGAGGAACACTGATTATCTTCATGCGATGATGTCTTGTTCAAATGGCTTTTAAAATCGTTATAAACTACGACGGCGACGCCGAGGACAACGTGTAATAAAAAATGATTTTATATTTTACCTACGAACATCGCGGTTCCCTAAAGTCATTCACTTTGTTTATCACTGTCAAAGCTATGAAAATTAGCTGTCGTGGTTCACGTTCTGTAGATAACACAGAATTTGGTCATTTCACGTTGTTGTTTTGCGGAGGACGGCAATAAAATGTTCCAAGAATTAAAACGCACGTGCACAGCCATTGGTCTCCTCGTTAAAACTTTTGTTTAACGACGTTGACGTTGCCGTTGCCGTCGTGGTTTTCTTAAGCTACCTAATATTTTGACGTGGCATCGATATCAAAACCGAAATACAACAACAGATTATGGTCAGGCTATTGCGTGACGATGTTATACCCAGAATCATCGCCAATCTGCCATTTACCGTTTGCTGTAACGTGTGCTCTTAATCTCTCTCCCATTGCAGACACCTGATGACTTTCAATTGTATTGCTGGGTACAGTTCTATTGTAGTTGGGTCATTGTAGCTTGTAGCTTGCAAAGAAAGCTATATCGCTACTGATCGAATTGTTATTCCCTTGTTAAAATAAAACGTCACTAAAATTAGTACCCATGTTACATTTCTTAAGATGGAAAGTTTTGTCTTGGAAAACGTTTTTCAATAAAACTTTTAAAAGGCTTACGTCTTTCTTGTCTTAATCATTACCCGTACAAGACTGTTTGTACGTCATCAATTCTAAAGTAGCTTTTTGCTGAACATTGCAATCAAACAAACCTGTTTGATTAACCTTACCATTATGTCTAAAATTCTATGGAAATGCCAGTTTCGATGCACAGGACGTACAGCTGTTTCCGCAAAGGTTGTCGGAATGAAATGTGAGAGTGCACTTGACAACCCCGAAAGTTATTATGGGTAGCACGTGCTGAATATTTAAACCGATATAACAACATAGCAAACGCCATTTCGTACGTTTTCTTTTTCTTCAGACTTGCAGAAACATATTCTTTTCGCCACACTGAATTTTAGCAGTTTTAGAAGAGTTCTAGTTAAAAGTCATGTAACAGTGAAAGAAAAGCTACAGAAAAGTAGTCTTATGAGTGGAAAGTCCAAAGTATCCTTGCTAATACATACTTCACGTAGAAAAATACAAATTTGTAGATTTCCTCTACATCGATATGCAAATTTCCAATGAATACCCACACTTCCATTCGGTCTTGTCGCGTAGGCTTGACGCTTTCATCAGCTGTATTTAAGTAAGTCTTGTTCTTTGGTCATCGTAGCTTGATTGGGACATAACAAACAGCGGTGCTAAACATTTTATTCCAACGCATTTCAGTACAGAACTTGACGTTTCGTATGCTGGTCAACATATATTTTAATTCTAACTTGGCTCCGAGGCCTAGGGGAATAAAACAAAAGAATTCGCATCGAGATTGAGTGATGAATATTTTTTTTTTCGTTTGTTTTATTCGCATAAGCCTCGGAGCCAAGTTAGAAAATTGGCCCAAAAAAATTTGCACGCCTTGCATGCCTATGTTTTGGAAAACAGCCGGGTGCGTTTCTTTGGGATGGTCCGGAAATAAATATCTAGCATCAATGATGCCGAGATCCTCGCGGTGCATCAAGAAAACCGAGGAGTCCACTCTTTGTAGGGATTCATCGGTTTGGACCATTCGACCCCAGTACGCGGAAGTGCGCGCAAAGTTCAGTCAGTACTGCGGGAGTACTGGGACACGTGCATCATGTAAGATGGAATATTGCAGTTCCGTCTGGCGGAAAGCGAAAGTGAGAAAAGGGAACAGTCGCGTGAGCTCGCACGAGGTTTCTACATTCTTAAGCAGCTCCTGCGAGAGGAATTTACGAGACTACGCAATCCGATTTAAGGTGAGTGAGTCGGAAGTACCAAACACCGTTAAGACACTGCAAGAAAAAATACATAAATTTTCATACCACGCGCGCGGCTCAGTGATCTGTTGGCGACTGGTTCAGGTGCTAAGCTTAATATAACTGATAAGCCTCGAGCTTAGCTTCACTTTAATATCTCGTTTGTGGCCTATCCTTTGAATATTGAGCAACTCACTTGAATCGAGGTGGTTTATAACTGGATCCCAAGAGACTGAAAGCACAAAGGAGTGGCGGTGATACAAAGAGAAGAAGTTGATTAGAAATCTTTTGTTACTGACCACCAACATGGCGGCGATGACGTCACATATCTAGCACGTGTAAAGGAGCGGTCTTTGTTAAATGTTTAGGATGTTGTGTATGAGAAAATTTTTAGGGTTCAAAATAGTTCAGCTGGTCAAAATGACAATCGGTCCGGGCAAACTTTGGTCATTTTGACTGGTCATGTAAGCTTACAGGGGGGGGCACTGGGGCATATTATAAACCGCAAAACCGAAGAAAAAACATCCAAAACTGCAAAACCGCAAACAAATTTGCCCAAAACCGAAAACTGCATACAAAACTGTCAAAAACCGATACAATAGTGACAAGTGGGGTATACACTGCCCATACACTGCTTCTTCCATTGCTGGTGTTGGAGGCACATTGGAAACTGACCAAATGATCGCCCTGTTCTGCGAGGTCAAAGTCTCAGGCGTCATTCGGGATGTGTGATCCCCTACCGTGGCATTTAGTTTCTTGCGCATTCCTCTCAATAACTTTGGCTTTTCGCAGCTACTCGAGATAAATTGCTGCTCAAATCGAAGAGAAACTGGAACCCAAATAGGACAAAATAGGAAACAAAAACAAAAACCACATCGGATACCAAAACTGAAAAACCGCTAGTATTTTGTATGAAAACTGAAAACCAGATGCTAAAAAACAAAAAAATCCACAAACTGCAATGAATACCAAAACTGAAAAACCAAAGTCTTCTGGCACAAAAATCAAAAAACCGATCTAAAAAATAGCCAAAACTGTAAAACTGAAAATCCCAATGCCCCCTCCTTACATGGCTTTTAAATAAGTGCATGGGCAGAAAAAGTATATTACATTTTACATCATCTTGATTAAGCAGTATCTTTTGTTCAAAGACAGCAATACTTCTTTACAATAATAATACAGATATTGAAACATACTAGCAAAAGTATGGCTTGGTGACATAACAACACAAGTTCACGAGGCTTGCTCAACANTGATTTAAGGGTCAGGTCTAATAGGGCATCAAATTTTTGGTCAGGTCATAAGTACATGTAGGGTAGGGAAAATCACAGATTTTGGTCTTAAAGAGGGTAAGGGTTTTGGGGAGCAGACCACACACCCCCCAATTTTTGTGGGAGTACCCCCCAGGCAAAAAAACAGCAAAAACAGCACTCGCCTTATGTTCGACGCTAGTAACATTTTTGCAAGATGTTCTGTGTGTCGTGTCAGCCTTTATGGCCTGCAGTCTGGCTCCAAAATTACTTCAATGCTATCAAAGTCAATAACACGGGAATGTCATATGCTATAACAAATTATCTATAATAATGTTCTTAAGAATATTTACAGCCTAAAATCGACAGAAAAAATAAGAATGTTCAGCCTGGGCCAAAAAACAATATAATTTCTTATATAAAAGGAGTGTAACTGGTTTGTTTTGGTTTTACACACTCAATTGAAAACCGCTCTTACCTCAACATTTTTAACTTATATTTTTACATTTAAAACTAGTAGTAATCAAAGATTGTGAGAGTGCATTCGATGCCTTCACTGAAACATACTAGCAAAAGTATGGCTTGGTGACATAACAACACAAGTTCACGAGGCTTGCTCAACACAACAACTTTATTCTCTAAGCATCTTGGGTAATACAACAGCTTAACACAACTTCCAGTTACGAATATATTACACTGTTTTCTCCCAGATTTTCAGGATGCACTTATACCCAAGACATAGTGATAACCTACAGTTACAGGTTAAGTTTAACAACTGGTTTTCTAATCCTTTGAGATCTTCTC